CAAAATCCAGTAGGGGGCAACCCCTACTGTTTCACTCAAAAAAATCTCTAATTTTCCTAAAACGCTGATGGCACTAGCATGACTGGTAGGGGCAAGGGGTGTGCATGTCAACATGATTGGTGGGGCCAGGGCATCAACCACTCTGGTGTGACCATCTTCCGTGGCTAGGATGAGCCGAGCCATAAAATGAGATCTATTCAGTCAATTGCCATGGGTCTAAACGCGTCCAAGGGGTGGGCCCAACATGCCACAGAGGAGAGGCAGGGGCCTGGCCGAGCACCTGCGAGGAGTCTGCATCTGTTACGGCTTAGGGATCGAAGGCTGTAGGAGTGGAAGGTGCGAGGCCTGGGCTTGAAGCCTCGACGATGAACTGGCGGCGCCGTGCTCGGCGCCTGGCTGAAGACTTGCGGCAAGAGGTGGATCGTGAACAGTAACGCCCAGGAACCAAGGTGAGATAAACTCAACCCTAGGCTAACCCTTTATTGATCCATAGAGTTTGATACATATAGGACTCAACCTAACCAACTATCCCTATCTTTTAGGACTCTTTAATCTCAACTAACCAAACCCTAATGACTATGAATCCAAACTAACCCAACCCTGTGCGCCCACTGGTGACCTGGTAATCCCCCCCCAGGTCGGCACACGGTTGAGTCTAGCCACTACGGCGTCTATAGACTTTGCCGCACATAACAGCATCCAACTCCAATTAGAATAAATTCAGTTTAGGAAATAAAGATTGTTTAGGAAAAGAAGAGTCAAAATCTATAAGGACTCTAGCCCTAGATTGCTTAGGGGTCAAGTCATAGGGAGTATAAATAAAGGGGCCATGTACTCATAATATTCAAGAAAAGAAATAGATGATTCAATCCTCAAAGATTTCACAGCTCTCTCACCCGTGTGTCCACCCCCTTTCCCCTAGTGCTGCTACGGCCCCTTTGCCGCTAGCCACCCTCGTCGTACGGGCGGTCATGAACTTCCATCTCTCCCTCCATCCCTCATCCTCCTCCCTCCTTTCCTTACAATCTAAATCCACCCCAACCAATCTAGGCCCATCACATCTAGTATCCAAAGACTAGGAATCCAATGCCGACAGCAACAATAACACCTCCATCATTGTCATCGAGATCTTTTTTTTTAGAACAATTGTCATCGAGATCTAGGCATGGCTCAAGATGCTCTCAGTCCACATCAGCACCCACATGGATAAGGTGGAGCAGCACCTCGACAATGTCGAAGACATCCTTATTGTCATAGAGCAAAGTGGCAACAAGGGAAGGATGACGCCGATGCCACCGCTGCCGCAAAAGAACTGGGGGCCCAAACTAGGTGCATCATGGAGGACAACACCTGCGCCTTCCTCCAAGAGAAAGCAAACAACTCGTTGTCCTCAGGCATCTAGGAAATCGACCAGAGATGACAAACACTCTATTCGCCACAACGCTAAAGACCCACCCAACTGCAAAGGTCGAGGTATCCCTTCCAACGAAAGATTCATCTGCACCGATCTCCTTCCCCGTATTCCAACCGTGCTACCACAAGTTTCCTTCCCAACCTTCAACGGCAAGGGCCCACTACCATGGTTGAATCGTTGCGAGCAGTTCTTAAAGGGTTAGTGGATCTCCGACAATGAAAAGGTGTGGTATGCATCTTTTCATCTAACAGGTGCAACAGTGGTATATGCGCCTCGCACAAGAGAAGGTGATCAAGGGCCGGGACTACTCTTATTGTGTCAACAAGCGATTTGGTCCTCCTTCACCAAGCACTTCCTCGCATGTGGCATGTCCGAGACCCCTTGATGAGCTCCTGCAAGTGAACATCTACACAACAGGACTGATGTAACTGTTGAAGACAGACATCGAGCTACAAAACCCCAATGACATGAAGACATCAATGTCCATGGCTAGGGCATACCAGCGCCAAGCCAACATCGTCACGGACCTCGCCATGTTAACATCCACCAGAGCAACAACAAGAATGGCGCCCCAACCTCAACTTGCGCCTAGGCCGACACCTGCTATCGCGCCAGACCATCAACCTTAACAACAACTATAGCAGCCCCGGTCAATGGTACGACATCTCCAGCTGGTCAATAGTTTAGCGCGTGGACACACACTGAAAGGCAAAAGTGGAGGGATTCCATGGGTCTAAACGGGCCCGAGGTGGTGAGCCCAATATGGCCTAGAGGAGTGCTAGGGTTGGTTGTTAGGCGCATGAGGAAGGGACCCTGAGGGGGGCGGGGGGGGCGCTCTCCTGGCCAGTCGGTCCCTCCCCCAAGGAAGAGTCCAAATCCAACTCCAATTAGCAATTAGAAATATGATAAGAATAAATTCAGTATAGGAAATAGAGATTGTTTAGGAAAAGTAGAGTCCAAATCTATAAGGACTCTAGCCCTAGAATGCTTAGGGGTCAAGTCATATGGAGTACAAATGAAGGGGTCATATACTCATAATATTCAAGAAAAGAAATAGAGGATTCAATCCTCAAAGCTTTCAGCCCTCCAACCACTATGCCCTATGCTGTCCCCTCTTCCCTAGCGGCCCCTACCTGCGTTGCTGTCACCCCTTGCACTAGCCTATGTCGCCGGCCACCCTCGGCGTACGGGCGACCATGGCCTTTCGTCTCTCTTCCATCCCTCTTCTCCTCCCTCCTTTCCTTACAATCTACTCAATCCACCTCCAACCAATCCAGGCCCATCACACAACAAACATTAACTTCATTTGGACAGTCCATGTTTCATTTTTCTCATCATTAAGAGCATACCCACTCAACCTTAATGATTGTTGTAATATACTTCCTAAACTGATCTACTACTAGGATCATATTGTTCAATGGATAAGGCACGTGAGACATACTTCCAATAATTTGTACATGCCTCCTGGTCATATTGCACATATGTGAGGTGAAAAGAATCCATGATATAATGATTATTTGTAGATCAAACATGTGAACTGCATGAGACATTGGAACACCAACTTTCTGCTAAGGTGTTAAACAAAAGTACAAAACAGCAGCTTTCCCTTTGATTTGTCACTTACAGTTCCTATATTTCATTTCCATTGACTAATGGCATTGATAGTTCTATTGTGGAAGATAGTACAAAAATCTCAAATACACAGCTATAGAAGTGAAACATCCAAATGGAAATCTCTTCTGGATCAGGATTGCACTTAGAATTCCATGTTCTTGGTTAATTTAGAGATTAAAGGAATAAATCAAATAACATAGATTGTTTTACTTATTCACCAATAAGTCAGCTTGCAAACATTAGTGAGACTTCACTTTGAGATCCAGTTCAAAATCACCAGTGCATGCTATCAAGGATATTTTCAGAGTAACAGACAAACCTGGTGCCATTGAAGGATTAATGTCTACTACTTTAAGGAAAAATATGTCTTCTTAATATATAAAGTTTCCTACTTGAAAAGGAAACAAAGCTTCACATGTTCTGAGAAAACCCGGCTACACCTATTCTTTTTTTTGAACATGAAATACAGCAGGGGAGGCCCCCACTGTATTATTTTATTAAAAAACTGAGCTGTACAGAAAAACCTCCAAAGGGAGGAGAAACAACAGAGGAAAAGAAAAACCCAGGGGAGGGACAGAAGAAAACTAAACTAAGGAAGCTATACAATCTAGGAAAACAGGACACTTAAACTCACTAAATCTATGAGCTTGTAATTTGGCCTCAACACAGAAAGAGCTCTTCCAGGAAACAAAGGCCGGCCGGCCTCTATTGAAGATAAAATTGTTTCTTTGCTTCCAAATTTCCCATGCCGCAATGGTGAAAATATCCATGAAGAAGGTGCTTTGATTGAAGCTTCGCCTGATGCATCATTTGAAAGAATTCCAAAGAGAAATCCCAGCTAATTCCAAGATGCTGCCAACAAGACTGACTGAAAGGGCAGCTGAAGAACAAATGGAAAGCAGATTCTTCAGTATTGTTGTTGCAGAGCACACAATTATAGTTGTCTCCTTGGAGTTTTTGATTTTTTCTTCTAAGAATATTTCTAGTGTTAAGCCTATCCATGAGGAGGAGCCAAGAGAAGACTCTAAGCTTATTACAGCATTTGGAGTTCCAGATCCAAAGAAAAGGAGCTGGGGGTTGAGAGTTCTTGTAGGGCAGGTTGTAGCATTTAGATGAGGAGTAATTCTTGTTTCCCCAAATGTATTCCCAAGAGTCTGATGTATTTGAATCAATCTGTAAAGGTTGTTACACCTATTCTCAGTTCAAGTTTTGTTTGCTACTCATGTATGTAACAACGAAAAAAGAAGAAGAAATACACATTCAGAGACAGGAGGAAAATTAAATCAACCAAACAAAATGCTATGGACTGATTTCAATTCATGATGATGGGCTTGCCTAAAGGAATGACCCATGAAATAACGTCTATGCTAGCTTGAAGCCTCCTTTTTATCACCATCAGTAATAATAAGCAATAAACTTGATTAGACCTTACGAAATGGTTTCATATTTGGTTGCTGGGAAACAGCAATGTTCTGCAAAAAGTTGCATCTTATTACAGTAAGAGCTCGAACTGAGGATGCAGCTGAAGAAACTTCAAAACTCCATCAATCATGAGAAAGATTCTGCAGGATGCTGAATATCCCATAGAAAAAACAAACCCTACCCAAGGGAGTCAGTTGTCCACACCAACAACTTTCTTTAAATAGTACCAACGGCACTAAATTAATGGGGTCACAAGACCCTAAACAACACCAAGTTACCAATCCAATAGTTTAATCGGTGACGCATCCCACGCGTGAGATTAAATTATCAGCACGCCATCAGATCCTAAACGCCACCAAATTACCAACCCAGTTGTTTAGATTGCCAGGTTGGGACCAAACTAGACCTGATGTTTTTGCCCCTAAATTTGCCCCAAGAGATGGGGACCAATACACACAGAATTATTAACTGATGGCCACATCAGCACAAGCATTGCTGAATAATAGGATCAGTACACTGCCTGGTGCGAGGATTGGATGAGACGGTGCCCTTACCGGCTGCATTGCTGGCAGAAGCGCTGCTCCTGGCCGCCGACGACCACCACCGGCGTCTTGGAGTGCGCCTCACAGACCTTATGCCGCCGGTGGTACTCGCGGCACCGGCTGAGATCAGAGCGGCAGCCGTCGACGGAGCACGCCTCCGCGCCGGCACTTCCCCCTGCCACGCGGGACCTCCTCCCGGCTCCCGCCGCCCCCGCCGGCCGCGCGCTCTGGGCGAGACCCGCGGCGAAATCCTGGAGCCACACCTCGGCGTCGGCGGCGGGGGAGGTGGAGGAGGACGGACCCGCGAAGGACAGCATGGTCGGGCCGGGGTCCGTCGCCGCCGCGCCCCATGACGGAGCCCCGGAAGCCGCTGCCCAGTCCATGCCGCCGGCCAAAGAAACCCCTCAGCCCTGCTCCCAACCAAGAAACCGTCAAGACAGCGGGGACAATTCCAGGAAAAAATCCTCTGCAACTGCAAGAAACAAACAACTAGCCAAGAAAAGAGCATTCACGCAAGAAGGCCCACAAGATATCCAAGAACGCCACCGATTCTTGCACTCCCAAGGCAAAAAAACGCAAGAGCTGCGCATGGCGCGAAATCGAAGGCGGCTATTCAAGTGCAGGCAAAACAGAAGGGAATGAGGCAGACAGGAGGAGCTCGGCACATACGATCGGAGAAAGACGACTCGGCAGCGGCAGCGGCACCGCCTCAGCAGCAGCCAGCAGCACTGTAGAGAGCGGCGGGTGGAGGTGGGGACTTGGGAGCGAGCGAACAGTGCGGGCGCGTGCTTGCGTGTGTGCAGCTCGGGAAAGTATATAGGCAAAGGGTGCGGTTCGGTGCCGGGTATATACGGGCAGAAAGGGCAGTCTACATCATGTTGGAAAGAGGCAGAGTGATTTGGACGTCCTGTACATTTTTCCCCCCTCTTGTTTTGACCTACACGGTTCGGTGCCGGGTATATACGGGCAGAAAGGGCAGTCTACATCTTGTTTTGGTCAGCAATCATTCTGCTCTTGTCAGCACATTCGGGCACGGTCGTCGAGGGCGTGCTCCCTACGCCAAATTATGGCGTACGGTGGCGGCACTTTGCCGGCCGTGATGGCGTCGTGGGAGTGGTGGTTGTTCACCAACTTCCCTGCACGGTATGGGCTCGTTGTAGGCGTTGTGGCCTCCGTCCTAGTGTCCGTTTCTTTAGGGGGAAGTCGTGATGTCACCGTACAGAGAGAGTGGCTATCTATCGTGGGCTGCCTACTCTCTTGGTCACGGCCCCATTGCCCCAACTCTCCCGGTCGGGTCGAGGGCATTGGATGCGGCCGATTTGATAGGATCTGGCTCCTGGTCATGATTCTCATACCGTAGCGGGTGAGATCGTATGCCCATCCATCAGGTTGGACGGGATTTGGGCGGTGCAGAGCCACGCGACGTGACGTAGCCAAGTCTTGGTATTGTCTTGTTTGGCAGTAAAGTGCTGCCAAGATTACGCTTTGTCTCGGGGCCTGACGGTCAGGAGGGTGGTTGTCCTTCTCGTACCCGATGGAGTGCGCGCGTACGCGTCCTGTTCGGGTAGGCGCATTTAATGCATTTACCCGCCTCTTGTCCTTTCCTTAGCGGCTACGACAGGAGGTGGTTGAGGGCACCACGCGGTGCATGGTCGAGAGGCGGGAGAGGTCGAGGCAGGCCTCGTACGGCTCGAGGGGCGAGAGGTCGAGACAGGCCATGATTTCGCTGGGTTGCGGCCGGCTTGAATATCCTGAGTGTCTCTATAATTGTGCTTTGGGGTCCCCTAGTTATATAACCCTAACAGTAGCCCCCGTGTGTCTTTAAGATTAGAAATAATCGTGAAGGCACTCTCTCTTCGGGTGGCGTTCGAGTGGTCGAGGCGTTTAGTGCAGGCCTTAGCCGCTGCGTGTCTGTTTTGTTGGCTATGTCTCGGGGCATGGTGCATACGCGCTTGTCAGTTATCGTCCGTCTGAAGCACCTACCATTCTTTATTTTGATGGGACTAGTAGACTAGCGTGCGCTGAGTCTGGTGGCTCGGCCTCCTGTGTATGGTCTAATCTATGCTGGTCTCCGTGCTACGAGCTTTACGTGCCTTAAGGGATCTTTGAGGCATAGGCCTATGCGTAGGCTTTATTTCGGCCATCTCGCATCATGCCACGTGGCGTGTTACTCACATGCTGCACAGTCGCATGTAGGCCTATAAAACGGGGGCTTTCCCCGTCGATGTTGAGCCATCCTTATTAAGTATCTAGCCACGCTCGGGTGTTCTAAGCTCGTAGGACTAGGATGTGGCCTTCTAGGGGTCGGTTATGCCGACCAGATGTTGGCGCCATGTCTCCCAATATTTGGTGCTAGAAGAATGCTTGCGAGCAGCTAGGGGAGAGATGGCACAATCACTGGGTCCGTGGCCTTGTGACCTCCTCGTTCCCCGAACTCTGGTGGTTTGGGTGTTCGAAGTGGACGCTGGACGAGGATGACTTTGACTTCTTTTGGGAATCTCTTAGTTGACCGATGGTTTGTCGTAGCCTCGGTGAGTGTCCGCGTGACGACTATCGAAAGTGGCACGAGATACGAAGAGGGGGACGAATGGTTTGGCACTATCATGTCATCCTCATCGTATAGGACATGATAGCTGTTGACGGTAGTTAGTGTCAATCATGAACCGTTAATATATCCTTTATATATGATTAAAATGAATCATCAGCATAGGTATAGGGTTTTAAACTAATGAGTTCCATAAGTTTTGGTGATTTTGTGACTACAGGAGGATTTAATTAGAAAACTGGCAATGTGGACCCAATCTTCAAAGCAAATCACAATCATTCGTGACAAATCTGACTTGGAAGAGTCCCAAATCATCATAGAAGACAAATCACTGAGACCCGACCCTAGATGTCAGAGTGTGGAGCCGGTCGGCCCCACCTGTAGGCCGGCCGGACATGTGTCCCCACCTGGCAGCCTCTCCTTCGTATGTTGGTTTCCCACCGCCTCTAAGATCCAATCTACGCTGTTGCTCAAGGTCAGTTTGTATCGAGGGTCTAGATGAAGCGTTGCCATGGCCCCATACCTCCCCTTCTAGGGGCATGTCAACAATCAAGAGAAAAATAAGTCCTCCATGTTTGGATCTACCTTTTTGTAAATAGAGAATAGTGAGATAGAGAGTGAGGGAAGAGTTTTGAGGAAGTGTCGCCTATCAATGCTCTCTCTATGGTTGTACCTTGGCGGATTCAAGTTCAACTTGAGCTTGCTTCTGAGATATCTCTGGTAATCAACTTTTGATTCAAGTAAGTATTGTGTTTATATTGTTCATCAGGTTTGCGACACTTTTGAGTACTTTAATCCTTGTAGCTCTTCGGTTAAAGTAGTAATCGTAGTGTAAGCATGGTGCTTAGACTAGGTTACTTGTGGATGCACCCTGCATTTTGGATCGGTGGTAAATCATGAGGGTGATAGCCTCGTTGAGTCCTTTGTAGTCCATCTCCTGTTTGTAGGCCAAGTTGGACCCGGTTACTACGGAATAGCATACTTTGTTTGTGCCTTTCCTTAGTAATGTCCCCAGTTGAACACTAGAAGACATAGCTTGCCCAAGTTAGAAGAAGAGAACCTTCATAATCCTCTCTATGTTCCTATTTATCCTTAGCCTTGTTGCTACTCCTGGTTAAGTTAGACTTAGTTAAATCTCTCACATGTTTCCTTGAGTTCGATATTCTAGAATACTTCTGGTGAAGTGCTACATCAGTGTCCATATGCTTGCGGATTAATCTGTGTGCTTCTAAAATATACCAACAATAGCATCGTACTGGTGCCCCAGAAGCCGGCCGGCTCTTGTGGCTATGCCCGTTTCCTTCACCCTGTGTGTCCCAGCGGCCGCAATGCAAGAAGGAAGGTTGTGAGGTATTCTCCCCACTTTGACCTTCTTGCGTGTGTAGTTGGTGCCTCTAGGTTTTATGCGATACCGTCATTATGGCAGTACCGAGTTTTTTTGTGTCTTGCAAGCGGCTTGGCTGCACTCGCTTTGTAATCATTTATCCCAAATGAATAAAGATTAATCATTTTGTGGCATGATCCATTCGTTTGAGAGGTCAGGACAAACCCCCAAGCCGTTCGGTCGAGGTTTGGCCTCGTCCCTATGTTTCTTGACCTAAGCCTGGTTCCTAGTCTTGAGGTTAAGTGCGCCGACTGTGTTTTGAGCCGAGGTCAAATGGTTTAGTTAGGGAAAAATAGATCGAGGCGTTACCTTAGTGGTCGAGGAATTGGGCCCTTGGGAGAGGTGACTTGGTGGCTTGGCCCTGACTTGGTTAGGGTCAGTGATCCTTGTTTCCCCTCTTCTGAGGCTTCCTTGTGAGCTTGGAGAGGTCAGGGACCTTTTGTGTGAGCTGGTTTTTTGCCCCACGTGGGGTGAGACTATCCACTGTAACCCCACCAGTTGAGCAGTGTGCCTCGTCGAGTATCCATGGGTAGTCTGAGTGAGACCCGATTGTCGTCCAACAGTAGACATGGAGTTCGGCTATACCTCGCTGGGAGACGTCTCATAAATTGTCGACCGCCTATCCCGTTGGTCCCTGATGGCCTTAGTAGCAACTAGAGGGAAAGATACCTCCCTAGGAGGGGATTAACCTAGGCTGGCTTCGAAGCCAACAACTCGAACACATGGTAAGATGGTAAGGAGACTCATCATCTCCTAGTCTAGGCCACTAGGGGCCCATCTCCCATGCCCCTAACTCTTTTGCGGGCCTCAAACCCTTCAATGGGCTGGCCCATCTTGGAAGATGGATTCGCCGTCACGTGAAGCATGGTCGTGAAGCCGGCGGGGCGCTCTGCACGCAAACCGATGAGAATGACAGGTTTGCCCGGTCACATCGTGCGATTAATGGCGTCGGCTCGCGTGCGTTCGTGCGGCACATAGGCCCATGTTTCAAGGGGAAGTGGGAGCATTGCTTGTGGGTTTCTCACGGGCGTGGTTTGCCTTCCTGGTGCCGCATAAATAGCCTCATCCCTGGATTGTTTCTAATCTCTTGCTTTCACCTTCCCTATCATCTGCTGCAAACGAGGGAAGGTAGAGAGTGGAGAAGTCGAGCTCGAAGCCTACCTTGCGCTTGTCGCTGTTCATAGTCTTCTCGTGTAGCTGTTGTCCTAACCTCCTCAATGCCGACATCGTTTGTTGTTTCTTCTATCGTTGCCTCCTCGCACACCTTGCCTTGCCAGATGAGACAATGGGTGCCATCGTCAGTGACGGAGGTGAAACTGTTGTAGCTTGTGGAGAGGGCCGTTGCCGGGGAGCAGTTTCCACAACCGTGCCCAAGGGAGATGATGTCCTTTACTGATTACCATGAGCGCGGCTTTCGAATCCTGACCTCCAACTTTCTTCGTGGGTTCCTGCAC